TGAATACTATGAATGTTATAAACCCTTCCATCTTCACTTCTTAAAAGTTTCTCTTTTTAAAGGAAATCAACGCACTCTCAAAAAGATTTTTTTCGTGCATTGAAAATAAATAAAAACGAAGAAACTCAATACAACTTTCTATGAGAAGAAATACAATCCAAAACCCATTTTTTGGATTGGGGTTTTGAATAGCCTAAAAGATAAACTAAAAGAGATTGTGTAATTTGCAGTAAAGTTTGACTTGAAAAGATAAACTAAATCCATGGAAATAAAAAGATGAATTTTTTCCTCAAGAGTTTGGCTAGAATTGTCTTCATTGCGCATTGAGTGTTGATTTTCAGCTGCCTTGGCCAACTCTACATCTGATTTGAATTTTAGCATATAGTACTTCTACTCCATATTATACTTTTGCTTTCTTCTTTATTTTATATCTAAAGGACTGGTTTTTGAGAATTGATAGTGCCACTTGTACTTTTTGCCATCTATTTTGAGTTGGTTTTGGCTTTGAAAACTTGCTTTCATACCATGATTTTTCCATTTTCTAACACAAGTAGGATATGTTGTTGTGGCATTATGAATCCTTGATGCGAGTTGTATTATTTTGTAACCTCTTCAGTATGCTCTTTATTCTTCTTCAAAACCTTGAGAATTGGAATTGGGGAAAGAGAGAGATAGAGAGATAAAACCAAGGTTCGATTCAAGATAAATAGTGTTTTTGCTTATGGAGTCTAGAGATAGAGCCAGTTCTTCCTCGAAGAATGATGAGCCTTCTTTATTTGGGATTAGAGGAAGAGTAGCTCAATAAAAATCTTTTATGGTACTCCTCAAAAAAAAAAAAATTTAAGTGATTTTGGTTATATTTTATATAGATTGTATCTTAAGAAACTTAATTTCGAATGCTCCCTCTCTATCTCTGCATCGCTTATTGTGATTTGTAGTAGTGAATTTTAAATTTTGTAGTTGTTTTGCTATCAAGTTATATTCAATTTTAGTTAGTATTTTTTATTTATTGTTCTATTAGGGATATATTTATTTTGAAATTCGTACTTATACTTAAATTTTGTGTCTATGTGATATAGAAATGAATTTGTGTTAATTACTTATATTTAGGTATTACTAATTAAAAGTTATGGACATCACTAGAGAAGGTGGAGGGTGCTCAAGTGGTGACATTATTGCTAATATGGAGCCTATTGAGGCTTACATACCCATTGAGGCACTCGTACCTGATGCATCCTATGAGATCGGACTAGGATGAGTTCTATAAAGACAATTTTATGGATGGGAGTTATGATGATATATTGATAATACATTTGCACTAATTGATTTTTATGTTAAATGCTTAGTTCTTTCCACTTGCAATTGTTTTCCATTTTGAATTGGTTACCGAGTTAATGAATGTCCCAAATATTCTATGACTATATCAGTTTGAATAACAATGCAAGAAATCAAAGAAGATGACATATTAAGAACAAGACTAGAGTTTTTTTTTGCAAGCCCAATACTTCTTGGGAATGGAGATTCTAAACCGAATTTTTGTATAGCTTCCATATGTTGCAAATTCATGTTGAAAGTAGAAATTTGTATAGTTTGAAATGCGTACGTTGAATAGCTTTGAGATGGAATTTTTGTATAGCTTTCTATTTTGCAATTCATGTTGCAAATAGAATTGTTGTATAGCTTCAAAATGGATTTTTTGTATAGCTTCCACATGTTGCAAACAGTATGTAGATCTCTCGCATTATCCCATGACTTAGCTATCCCACTCTCTCTCTCTCGCTTTGCATGTGTGTTTCTCTCTCTCCCCCTACAAACACTATCTATGGTTTGCGCTTTCAATAGGACTCCTTAACTTTTAACACTAAAATAATAGTACTTTAGATCATTCACAAAAGAAAAATCTATGTATGCCCAATTACTTATGTGCCCAGAAGGTCGGTCCAACACATTTTATTATCAGTCCGACACAAAACGTTTTGGTACCCAGAATGCCGGTCTGACACATTTTATTCTCGGTTTGGCACAAATTCTTCTGGCGCCTAGAAGACCAATCCGATACATTTTACTCTCGGTCCGACACAAAATATTCTGGTACCCAAAAGGCCGGTCCGACACATTTTATTCCCAGTCTGGCACATATCCTTTTGGTGCCCAAAATGTCGGTCCGACATATTTTACTCTCGGCCTGACACAAAACATTATGGTTCCTAGAAGGCTAGTTCGACACATTTTATTCTCAGTACGACACAAAACATTGTGGTGCCCAGAAGTCCAGTCTGACACATTTTATTCTCGATTCGACACGAAATATTATGGTGCCTAGAAAGCCAGTCCGAGACAATTTATTCCCGGTCCAGCACAAATCCTTATAGTATCCAAAAGTCCGGTCCGACACATATCCTTATGGTGCCCAGAATGCAAGTCCGACACATTTTATTCTTGGTCAGACCAAAAGATTTTGGTGCTTAAAAGCTTTGTCTGACATAGTTTATTCCCGGGTTGGCACATATCCTTCTGGTGCCTAGAATGCCGGTCCGACGCATTTTATTCTCGGTTCGGCACAAAACATTTTGGTGCCCAGAAGGCCGGTCCGACACTCGTTATTCTCGATTCGATACATATTGTACTAGAACCCAAAATGTCGTTCAGACACATTTTATTCTCAGCCCGTCACGAATGCTTCTGGTGCCCATAATGTTGGTCCGACACATTTATTCCCGGTCTGGCACATATCCTTCTGGTGCCCAGAATGCCGATCCAATACATTTTATTCTCTATCCGGTACAAATGCTTATGGTGCCCATAATGCTGGTCCATCACATTTTATTCCTGGTCTGATACAAAACTATACAATTCAAGAACTCTTCTAAACTTGCAATTTATGAATTTCAAATAGAAATTTTGGACATATAAATGTTAGGAAATAACCATAAAATGTATAGGCGTGGAGATAGCCTTCATTTCTAATTTACGTCAGATAGAAATGTCATTTCTAATTCCCTCATATTCATACATCAGATAATATCAGGTAAGTAGTAGATATCAAGACCGAAGCATACATGCTCTCAAAAAATTACCCAAATTTGCTTCTAGTACTATGAGAAGCAGTGGTTTAAAAACGGATCACTGCCTAGGATCAAGCACCCCAAAAGCCCATTTGGATTGGTGAATTGGCGTTTCGATTCGGGAATCGATCGAATTTAGCCTTAAAAAAAATTCAAAAAAATTATTAAAAATCATTATAAATGTTTTTTTTAGGAATCCAATAAGAAATGAGGGTACTATATTAATATTTTTTGTTGTTTTGCATCAATATGCGAATATTGAGATGTTCTTTCCCTGTATGAAGATTCTCATCAAACATTTATTAAAACCTAACTAAATACAATATTATACATTGAAATTAGAATTATTGGTTTGTATTTTTTTATTTTATCATCACTTTACTATAAAAATAAGAATAAATTGAAATTTGTCTTATAATATCATCTAATTTAAAAAATCTAATTTACAACTATAACAAAAAATAATACATTGCATAATTTATAATGTAAATAAATTAATAAATAAAATATAATATTTAATTATCATTGTATTTAGTATAATTATTAATATTATTATTATATAAACGTGATTCAAAAAACAAGGGTATGACCCTCACAAATAAATAAACCTAATTTATAATAATTAGTGTTGATAGAAATATAAAATTTAGTACCATAAATTTACAATCATATTTTAATAAAATTAAAAAAAAATAATAAAGAAATTCATCTTTGCATTGTGGGATAATTGTTAAAGCAACTTAAAATAAATTCTAAAATGGTATGAGCTAGTGCTATTTTTCTCTCTTAAAATATCTCATAGACTAGATTTTCTTTTTATTGTTCAATAAACCAGTATTAATATTATTAATATTATTATTTAATATCCTATAAGCTAGTACTGATTTTTTTAATCCCAATTAGCTAATAGCCTAATACTATTAGTCTCTTTTTTTTTGGATAAGTAAATTTAAATTGTTTTTGGTGAAGGATAGGGGTGATGGGCCCTATCTACCAATTATTATTTTTAATAATTTTCTCATCTTTAAATTAATATTCTTAAATTTCTATTAAAGGCCGCCATGTTATAAAAGAAATTAATATAATTACGACATCTATTTCTTGGTAAAAAAAAAAAAATCTAACAAATAGCAAACAGGTATTTATATATGAGAGAGAGAAAAGAGCTAACACTTGACAAGGTGAATGGGACAAAATATCCCACATAGAACATCTAAGATACCTTTGACATATATAAAACCCTCTTCATTAATACTCTCATGTGCATGCCTGGAAAGAGGTAAGGCATATTGACATGTAGGACAAAGAAGCCCTTGTAGGATAGGGGCACATGGCCCAATCAAGGCATATAAGACAAGAAGCACTTGTACGTCCAATCACAGTTGCCTCAATTTTTAAACAAATTACAAAATTGCTCCCTCGACTTAAAAAATTACAAAAATTCCCCCCCAATTTTGAAATAAAAAAGGGTGATGGTTGGATCCCGTTTTATGCCTAGATCCGGAACGGTCTAACTGATACCCGATCCGGATTGCCCGATTCCAGATCAGATCGGTGATTTTTAAAACACTGATGAGAAGCGATTAAAACCACCACTAATTGCCCATTTTAACATTTTTAATACCTAAACCAAAATCCTTGAATCAAAAGGAAATACCAAGCCTAATCGAAAGAAAATTCCCTAGGAACACAGTTTGAAGAACTGAAGTCCACGATTCCCACAAGGAACTATTGTGTATTTAAGGTCTTGTTTTCCAAGAAAAAGATAAAATGTGTAAAAGAAATTGACAAACATGACCTTAAAAATTCATTGTCTCAACTCCCAATTCACCAGAAAAAAGACAAAATGTGAGAAATAGAATTTCAGGGCATGGCTAAACCTGCTAAGAATGAACAGAGAAAACAACTTAAGGTAATTCATTTGAGAAATGTTACTGTCTTAAATAGATGTTAATAATATATAGAGTTTAAGGGCAAGGCACTACATCGAAATGCTTGCAGAACTGAGTTTGTACATATCCAACTACAAATACTTTAAATTACAAATATGTAAGAAGCCCCTATCTAAATACACCCTTCCCCTTCACCCTTGGTCAAAGTTCCCATCTGGGTTCCTCAGGCATAGAAGGACCGTCATTCTGGTCCTTTCTTATCTTTGTTTTCTTTTCATCATCCTCCTCGGCTTCACTCTCCTTTCCTCCATTTTGCTCCTCACCTTCCTCTTTGCTTTCACTATCCTCCTCACCATCCTCTTCGCTTTTACTCTCCTCTCTCGCATCTGGTATGTTCTTTACTAACAATTCATGGGTCACGACTACACAACGCTTGGAATCCCTTTCGTTTTCAAGTGAGGCTTCTAACATCCCCATACAGGTGTGTTGCTGCAGTTACAACATGCCTCTAGTGTCGTCCCTCTCCTTGATTCGTAGAAGAGCTAGATTGGCCCTTTGGTCCTTCGACATGGTTTTTGCCTTGTAATGCTAGATCTGAAATTTTTAAAGATGACAAGAGATAATATCAAACTAGAATCATAAAAGTTGAATTACAATATTGGTATTCGACTAAAATATCCTTCCACATAGAATTTAGAATATACAGAACTATGTGAGACAAAATAAGCATGAAATTTTACATATAGAATTTAGAATATATAGAAACATGTGAGACAAAATAAGCATGAAATTTTACATATAAAAATCTTATAACTATGTGTGTGTGTGAGAGAGATGCAGACATTTGTAGTCTTCTTTCATAGAATGAGGCTGAGAAAAGCATCTCGAGATTAAGAAAGTATATGATTGTTTCATAAAGCATCTCAAGATTTAGGTGAATGCAAATAACATATTTATATACTAACTATGGAGGCCGTGGCTGTTATGAATACAATGACAGAAGTAAAATTAGCTGGTTAATCTTATCAACTCATCATGATCAACAAGTATGATGGTTCCAATGATGATCCTACATGAATTGTGTGTTTATCTCGTAGATAAGATTTATAATTTTTCGAGCATTAACTTGGTTCATGTGTGTTTTATCTGTAACGACCACACATTTTGGTGTAACTGATTTTTCCTCACCTTGGGATCTAATTGGTTATAGGGCAGCCAAAATCATGACTATTATGCATGACGCTACACGGCTATACTTATAATATGATCGATCACCTCGAGTTATTATATCAAAATTTCTGTCATACATCCTTCGAGTAATGAAAATCCAATTTTTCTCTTGAACAACCTTTTGGGTTTATGTGGCCATTAAAGGCCTTAAGAGTGATTGTAATAAAAATATTTGATATAGTGGAACATGAACTCAGTGGGAGTGAGGTCCCACATGGACCATACTATGCAAACAATATTTGCATATACCAGACTGTGCTTGATGGTCTAGGCCAGTTGGTTGGGAAAAACCTATGTTACCTAGACATAGAGTATACACCGATAAGGGTTCTAATGAGTCATCCCTTGATGAGGTCGAAGTATGCCTAGATGAGTGAACCGAGGGACTGTTGACCCTTCTGTGTGATGGTGGCCAACAGAGACGGGGGTCAAAGCCTCATCTATGTACCATCACATGGCATTCATATTGATAGACCGTTTCGGGAAAGCAAACCACCTTCAGGATGAAGTGTATGCATGTGCAAGAGATACCCCTATGCACTATAGGACCTGTGGTCGCATCAAGTCTAAGTGACCTTGACTCGTCTCTAGGGGAGAACCTAAAATCCACATACTGGGATTGTGACCCCTTGGCCCATCGACCAGCCTTTGGTGACCCACTAATGAGCCATTGCTTGGACTGTTGTAGATATCTCATTTTAAATCTTGCAAATTTTATGATTTTCTGAACCCTTAGGACCACATTATCCTAGTAAACACAATATAATTACCCTCAAAACTACCCAAATCCTATCCCAATTTGAAGTAGAACCCAAGAGCTTTCCAACAGTCCAAGAATCACCTGAATTAGATTTGCGGATAAAATGATATAACAAATGATAATTTAGTCCCTGTGAGACCCAGCTGTTGGGCCGCGGGGCAGGTTATAACAGGCTCGACAGCCCAGATGCGAGCTAATGATGTAGTCAACGCATCTAATGATGCAGTAAACGTGTTTTCTGTAATTAACGAAGGTTAAAACTTCAAGATAAACTCAAAAAAATTCCGAAAAAACTCCAAAAAATTTAGGAAAAATCACAAATTGAATCTTATAAATACCCCCACTCCCCAACCAAAAGGGGAGAGAAAAAGTGACTATAAAAACCTTAGAAATTCCTGAAATTAGGAAAATTATCCAAAAATACAAAAAATAGAAAAAACTCTTAGAAAATTCCTAGAAATTTAGGAAAAATGCTCAAAAAATTAGAAAAAATCTTATAATTCATATTCAACCTCTGGAGATTACAAAACCCTTAGAAAACTAAAGAAATTCTCTTACAGATCTTGAGAAAGACCGCCAGCTTTAGAAAAATATCTAGATTAACCCTAGAGAAGATAGAAACCTTAGCCTCCTGAAGTCCTAACCCTCAAGACTGAGAAAACCTTGACCTAGGGCACAAAAACCCTAGATCAAAACTAGAATTAAGGCATAACAACCTTTACACCAGAGATCTGCTAGCCAACATCCGAACCAGAGAGGCAAAGAGGACCGGTTCTGATACGGACAAACCCTCGAAGGCTCGAGAATCCCGAGCCATCCGGCTCGGTTTGATATTATTTCTTCCTCTCTCTTTCTTTTTTTTTTACTGTTTTGCTTCTTTTATTTATTTTTGATCTGTTAACTTGTCTTGAAAATCGTATTTTAATGCTCTGGATCATGCTGGCTGTACCACAAATCTGAGAGTAGATCTACTCGTTTCCTGGCAAATATGGCATCAGATTTGAATTCGATATGTCCCACTTTCTCTACCACTTTATTTTCATCGTAAACAGTTTGGTGCCCACCATGGGGCTATTTAGAGCTTGATCCAAGCTTCAAAATACGATTTTTATTCACAATTTTTCATTATTTTAAGTCACAAAAGGTCCCAAAAGCTGCTTTTTGCTGGGCGACAGTCCCAGTGTTGTCCAAACTCAAAGGTTGTAAAAACCTCTGAAACTATGTGGATCTGTTCTAGGCACTCTCTTTTGACTGCACAAAAAATTTTAGATCAAAAGAAAATTTTAAAAAATACAAAAAAAAAAAATTTCCGTTCAATCTAGGCTTTTCTATTTTACTTTATTTTAATTTATTTCATGATAAATATTTTTATTTACCACTTATTCGAAGTTTAAATTAGTTTTATTTTATCAATATTAACAAAATAAAAATAAAAATAAATAAAATTTTTTTTTTTGGGCGACACCAGCCATGTCGCTCACCTTGCAAGTGTGACACCACTAGTGCCGCCTGGGCGACACCAACCGGGTCGCCCAACTGCAAGTGTCCCAGAAAAATTTTGGGACCCTACAGGACCATTCTAGGGGCTTTTGACTCTCTGTTGACCAATTTTTTACCTAAATAAAAATTTTAAAAATATACAAAAAATATTTTAGTTCAGATAGATCTGTTATGTTTCTGCCCTTTTGATTTTATTTTAGTTTGCTAATTTTGACAGAAATAATATTTTCCCTACTTTCACCATGCTTAGTTTAATTGTGCTTCATCAAAATTAAATAGATAAAAAAATTAAAAAAAAAACATTAGGGTTGTTTACCCCTCCAATCCTAGACCCACTCTTGGTTCGATCCGAGACTCATGCACCATCTAGTCTAGATCTTAGTCTAGGTTCTAGCATAGGTCTAAGATTAAGAGTTGCCTCTAGAGCTAGACTAGGCTTACCCTAGGTCTTAAGTCTAGGTTCTAGCATAGGTCTAAGATTAAGAGTTGCCTCTAGAGCTAGATTTTAGTATAGGTTCTAACATAGGTCTTAACCAAAATCCATTGAGTCTAGTAAGTTTAGGTTCCAGCCTAGTCTTAGCCTAGGTCTTAGCTAAGGTTTTTTCCCTTAGTGTCAGGCTAGGTTTGCCCTAAGTCATTGAGTTTAGATCTTACCTAAGTCTAGATTGTAGAACCCAGCCAAAAGCAATCACTATGTCAGTCACTCAAGGCGACCATGATGACTGCTCCACGGCCGACTCTAAGCCTAACCTGCCCAAACCTAAGGACCAGTATGCTGCAATCCCTTGGAGTTATTGACAGACCTCAGGACAATCCATTATCCAACGCCCAAGTCTTCAATTAGAGGCAGAGTCCCAAGCATCCACTCCTAATCCTGAGAACTGTGTGGCCCGAAAAGTCGGCTTCCCCCGAAAAATCTTAAATTGTTAGGGAGTCCGACCAGATGTCATCCTACAGGAGATTTTAGGCAACTAAAGTAGAAGTCAAGTGAGGGAAGAAATTCATGCAACATCTAAAGCCAATTCCTGTAACTCGAACTAAGATAACTGTGAGGTGTATCGATCTCAAAACCAAGACCCACCTAGGTCTAGGGGATCTGACCCAACCTCGAGCCATCATAGTACAGCTCATGATGTCTTAAACATTGTACGAAGCAGAGGTGTCGACTCAAACCGAACCTTAAGCGAGATAAGCATCCAAGCTGCCCTCAAAAGTCTGGTTGACCTAGGTTACATTGTTCATGCCCCAGCTTACGGGTCGATCCCAAACCAAGTTAGTGGTATAGGTCGACCCTTAGCATAGTCGAGTCTGCCGATTCTTCAATCGGTTCCTCTGGTTCCTTCAGTCCAACAAACCGTGCAATTTCTGCAACCGGTGGCGACACTTATGGGTCAGTATGCCCCGCAGGCATCAATGTATCAAACCACCCCAGTGACTGCGGCTCATGCCATTTCCCTAGGATTTGTCGTCCCAGAATTTTAAAACAAGTTCCATGGGAAGAGCGATCTAGATACTCATGTCAACGCATACCTCCTCTCCGTTCGAGCTTTACGAGACAAGCCAACCAACTGAAGGCCATCTTTTCACAAACATTGACCGGTGAGGCCTTAAACTGGTATCAGAGAACAATGTCAGCTCGACCACACATCACTCCAGACGTAATGCTCAACCTATTTGTCTGTCACTACCGTGGGTCGACACTAAGACCTCTCTCCCTGGGCGAAAACAATGCAATAAAACAAAACTCAGGAGAATCCTTCGAGGATTTCATCGTTCGATTCCGCAAGGCAGTAATGCGGGTCATAGAATGTCCAGTTACAGACCTAGCCAAGATCTCCATAGTCTTAGAGAATGCTGCTCCTGAGTACAGGACCTTTTTCAGCCAAGGTCCTATCCCCCACTCTTTCGAGTCTATGATTGAGCGGGTTGTACGACATGAAAGGCCAGAGGGACACCCCTCAACACCAAGCCCGACAACAAGCCGATAACAGCTCCCCAAAATAAGAACAAAAATAAGGGGAATGCTTCCGGTCAAGTTAATGAGATCATCGTTAACGGATCGGCCTAAGGTTCAGTTGCTCAACGCAACAATCATAATCAAAAC